CCTTCAAGTCTGTCACTAGTGTGCGTAAAAGAGAGAGTGATGAGGATAGGGAGTGAGGGGATGGGGGGTGCAGTGGCGCGGATCACGGCTGGCGTGGCTTCCTTCTCCGGCGAGAAACTACACCACCCATGTCTTCGATCCTCTGATACTCCTAAACTCTGTCGTCCTTCCACTGCCTGGTCTCGCCGGAAACGGAAGATCTGAGAACGATTGGATTCGTTCAAGAAACGTTATCAATGTAGATAACCGAGTCTATGATTTTAGTAAATTGCGTGTTATGGTGATATAACCCGAGGAAACCGAACTGTTTCGATGCTATTGCTCTCCGATCTGTTGAAAGCGTGAACGAGAATGGTTCAATTGAAGCAATGCCGGGCTGATCAAGGAGAGCAGCCTCTAAGTCACATAGCTCTGTTTATATGTGTGATTATTTCGCACTGAATCTTCCTTTTGTTGCTCCTTCGTGATGCGTCATTAATGTTGAAAATCTCCACTTCCTTTTTCACAGATGATTATTGAAGATGCCATTCGGCAATTCTTGGAAGAGGTTGATCCTGAAGCTGGACCAAAATCTATTGTGGATTTCTTCGATAAAGTGAAGTTATCGTATGGACCGAACTTGCTCACGGATTTAGTCAAACATTTACGTGGTCCGAAAGACGCAGACGAAGAAGTTCTTCAAGTTCTGACATTGGTTTTCCCACCCTTCAATATACTCGGGAGAACGGTTAGTAAATCATCTGAAAATTCATCATCTTCATAACATTTTTGAGTGTATTCTCATATTTTCATTTTTCGTTCTCAGGATGAGCTACAGAATGTTGCGGACGAGTTTATCAGAAAATGCGCCACGCAACAGCCCAAGCATTGGGCTCAGTTGGCAGCGATTATTTCTGCCATGGATTCTCGGAATACGAAGCGTCTGATGTCTTTTTGCTTCTCGGAATTATTTTTTGCGTCGGCTGTTTCGCATGCCGAAATTTTGCAAGATGAGGAATTGAAAGACGTGCTAGAGAATGCCATGATGGCAGTTTTGAAAGATCTCGGCCACGCAGACTCTAAAGCTGTTCTGCGTACCCTTTTGAGCACTGCAAATGAACTTTCCAACTTCGGATGTCTACGTGAAACGTTCTTGAATGTACCAGCGCCGCGGATGTTGATGGAAGTGGTTAAATTTGGAGAACGGAGGAAGCGAAAAAATGACGGCACGTTTGTTACACACCCCGTAAATACAGAATTGCGGGAAGTCGTCATGGACATCGTTGTTGCCTTGTCGCGATATTCCGAAGAAGCAATGCAAACCTATTTGTTCAATTTCGATGTTCCTTTAGACAATGACTCTTGGGACGCTCGCCTTTCAAGTCTGTTCTGTTTCAATCCTACGCTTTACTTGAGCTGGTGTGAGTCACGGCTTTTGAAGACAAAGAAAGGCAGTGACGAATGGTGGCTGAGGGTCTCGTATTTTTCAAAACTTGCGTGGAGAATGAACAAGTTGCAAATTTTCAAATTTGAACCCATGTCTTGGCTGCAGCAAGTGAATTTTGAAGTCCAGAGGAGCGGACCGAAGGTTGTTCATGCTCTCACAATTCTCTCTTACCTGTCTGCAATGTCCGCGGAAAAGCGGAGCTTGGCCAAGACAATCGACTTCCGATTCGTAGCGCAGAATTTATGTAAAGCCTCTTTACCTGTGAGACTGAGAATCGCAGTTACTTTGATCCACGTTCTCAAATTTCCCGAGGAATTTGTCACTGATGTCGCGAAGTCAGGATTGGAGGAATTAGACGCCATGATCTCGGATGCCGATCGAGCTGCATTTTTCGAAGAGTTCTTCAAAGTTATGGAAACTTTATGGCGCGTTCGGAAATTTCGAGATCAAGGCTTGCTCCTGAAGATAACAAACCTTTTCATCGAGTGGGATACAAAGCAGGAAAAGGATTTTCTCTCGCTCGCCGCGTTGCTCAGTGAGTCTTCGGAAGATTTCAATGAATTTTGCTGCCTTTTCCTCGCTTGTGGAAAGAAGATCGTCGAAATGGAAACAGCTGCGGAAAACGCCATGCCACTCCTGAAAAAGCGTTTGAAGAAGTTCCGTGTTCCGTCAAAGATCGATGCTGCATCTGCAGTCTTTTTCTTCGCCTCCGTGGAAAAAGTAGACTCATCGAACGTTAAAATTGCTTTCAAGTGTCTGGCTTTTGTCGCAGAGATGAAGTGTTCACGAGAAGCGAGAATCCTGATTTACCGAAGAATCGCGGATATTTTGCAAAAGTCCGAAAAATATGAAACCTCTTTCGTCGCCCAGTTCGTCCATCACTGGAGACGATTGAAGCATAGTAACCTATTCACTGTTCTGAAGCCTGCGAATGTTCGTGATCTCCGACAGCTCTTCGCCTTATGCTCTAAAACGCATGTCGACGAATTCGGCGAATTTGTATGTGAACTATTGGACTCCGGCGTGACGGATTTGAAAATACTGTCTGAAGTTGCAGATTTAGTTACTTGTCCTTCGATCCGACCTCAAGTTTTTCGGCGTGTGATGGAATTCGCCACCACGGAGGAATTGGTCGAATGGGCCACTAGGTTTGGGTTGCAAGAAATGCCCGGGATCGACACGTTGGAGAAGTTGAAGCCGTTTCTTCTCCAATCAAGTGAAAATCGTTCGAGTGCGTGGGCATCTGTGGTTCGGCAATGTTATCAGGCTGGATTGTTGGCGGATTCAGAGGTTTCCTTGCTTTCTGCGGAAGATCATCCTGAATGCAGGAAGTTATCGTTGGAATTTGCGATAGTGAATGACGCTGGAAGTTTTTCCGCGGACTGCGATGTGACGCAAAGTTTATTGAAACAAATGAGTGTTGAAGACGTGGAAGATGCTCTGCGAAAGAGTCTTGAATCGTTGTTGCGGTTGCGAAGTGTGGAAGCTGCGGAAGACGTTTTTGAGTTTGTTCGGGTTTCGAATAATACTTCTTGCGATGCGCTGTTGGAATGGGTGAGCCGTGAGAATCTGCCTGCTCTTCTAGAGCTTGTGCTGAAAATTCTGCGTGGATCTGCGACGAATGGACGACTGGGACTGGGTTCTGACATGTAAGTACTGTGTTGAGTGAACACTTGATTTAGAGTCGTCACACATTTCAATCGAACAAATCTGATTGTTTTCTCGAAAGAAACCCAGATTTAATGCCTAAGCATTTCCTGCCACAAAAAAGGGTACTTTCCTGTGATCTCTGTACCTACTTTCCTGTTATCTCTGTACCTTCCCTCTGACCAGTTTAAATAGGTCAGTTTATGTTAATTGAAAGATATTTGTAACTAACATAACCTGACGTAACCCAACTTTACCTAACCGCCTCCCAAAATCAGTTTCAGCAGTTTCAGCAGTTTAGTAAAGTTAGGTCAGGTTATGTTAATTGAAAGATATTTGTAACTAACATAACCTGACGTAACCCAACTTTACCTAACCGCCTCCCAAAATCAGTTTCAGCAGAATGCAGAAAAATGAAATTCAAAGTTTCTGGTAGGTGGATGGAAAGTAGGTACTGAGATAACAGGAAAGTACCATATTTTCATCATTGCGTAATGCATTCCTACATTGAAAATGTTATAAGGTAAGTGGGAGCTTTCCTGGAAACATTGGGGATTCCTGCATGATAATACCTGATGTAAAACTTTAACTCATGCAAAACTTCAAAAAACAGCTCTGCTCTTTTACAAGATACAATATGTGTAAAAATCTAATACTCTACAGTATAATTTATTCTGTCTTATTAAATGTTCAGGAATGCAGTATGTACAAACAGTGCATTTAAGCTTACATTTATTTCTTATGGCTTTTTCTCTCATAACATAGTCAAACAATCCTCTAAATAATTTTATTTTACCTACAGTAGAAACCCTGAGCTGAACATTCCTCTCATACAATACCATTGATTTAATACCACCCTTGCCTAGTGCCACAAAATGTGCTGGGAGAAATGGTTGCACTAAATTGAAGCTCAATTATACAGTATTCCTTTGTGTGGACTTTTCCAATTGACACACTGTATTGGATGAAGCAAATTTTAATTACTTCAGTGGCAGAATCCACACATTTTCCAAGGTTCTCTTCATTGTCAACTGAGCAGATTTTCTTGCTCGTTGGCGTTTGTGTGTGTGTGTGCGTGTTTTTTTGCAATAGCAAAGTTGATAATTTTGAAAGAGCAAATACCAAAAGAGATACTGCGAAATTGTAAACCTTACTTTTGCGTCTTGATATTTTCTCAAGTGCCCTTTCGAGGCTTTTGCTTTCTTAGATGTGCTTCCTCAGTAAGTAATAGAAAACAATGTTACGCGTGATAATTTTTGTCGTGACTCGTGAGTGATTGAAAATTGTTTTTCTTTTCTCTGTAGGTCTGCAATTGAACGTTGGCTGAAGTTATTTAGTTCCGAATCCCCGCTGCAACAAGAATTTGTCGTGGCCCTTTTATGGTACGCCGTGAAGAGAGGAGATACGAGCGTTGCCAAAACCTGGATATTCAGCTCGCTTCGCAAATTATACCGCGGAACCCTGAGCATTCTGGACCAGCAAACAACGCGTCTCGTGACGAAAGTGCAAGGAAACTCGGAAACGCTCGTCGGTCTTCTCAAACGCCGATTATGGCAACAAATCGATTACGAAGACTCGCGGACTTTTGCTCGCATCGAAGACAAGCAGGTGTGCAAAACTCGATTCCCGGTTTGGCGAACGATCGAAGTTGCCGGAGAAGTGCTGGAAGGCGGATCGCGCGACACGAAGAATTACTCGACCGCGGAAACGTATGACCCGGAAGTGTTTGTGTACGCTGTGTTATCCATGTTGAACGACGTGGAATCCGGTTTGCGGCCTCGTCACACCGTGACAACCATGTTTGCCTACGGATTCCCCGCAGTCGCAGTGGCTTGTTTATCCGCCAAAAGCGATAAGGTGAGATTCGCGTCGGCCTGCGTGATAAAACGCGCGAGTGAAGTCGTGTCGCAAATGTCCGTGGCGCCGATTTTGCCCAAGGAATGGGCGACGTTTTTCGACGTGATTTCGAATTCCTTGGCGAGTCGGTCGGATTCGGGACAGGTTTTGTTCCCGAGGGTTCCCCAGGTCTGGGCCACGTTTGCGGCTGCGTCGTGTCTCACACTGAACGACCCCTCGAATGCTGTGCACAAGCTAGTGGTCAAGTTTTGCTTCCGGACGACGTCTCTGAAGCTTTGGGCTTCTGCTCCGATGACGAGGTTGTATAACACGCGGGATTCGGATCCGGTCGATGCCGTGCCAGGGAGGAAGTTTGTGTTGGACGTGGCGAAACACGCGACGTTCGATTGGGACAGTTTCGAGAAGACTCACATCGTCAAGATTTTCCTGTCCAGCTTTTCCTTTCGGTCGTGTAAGTGTCAGTTGAAATCATCTTTGAAAGCGTTTAGATGTTTTCCTTGTGCAATCACCGAAAGAAGCAGGGTTTTTGGGCTGTACTTTCGCCCAGTAAGTGATGATTCAGAACTGTCCTTCTGAAAGACGCTTGAAAAAATTTGGGAGACACTTGATTGAGAGCCGAACAAAAATACTGTAATTTGTTGTGAAGTGCACTGGGCCCTCTTTTTGAAACATGCATTGCCTAACGAGAAAATCTGCCAAATGAATCCCACAAAACTAATGACTTGCCTTACCAATGTTGTCTTGTCTAGTAAACATCTAGACCTGGCCTTGGGATAATTTCCACCAGCAAAATCCCATCCAACTCTTTGATTTTTGACTAACTTTCAATTTTGTTGTCATACAGTACAGTACTTTTAAATTCAATTATTTGAGCTAGAGTACAATAATCCAATTTTTTATATTGAGCAATCGGAGTTTCTGTGCGACCATTTATCCTTGATGTGCAAGTGACACCTATGAAACTTGTGCACAAAGTGTTTCAATGCTGTGTGTGTAGGTGTCGCATTTATATTAATTACTGTACTGTACTGGACATGATTTTTTATTCTTGAAAAAGAAAAGTAAGAACATTTTGATGAACCTTACAAAGCGCTAAATATATTTTGGATTTAAACATTCATGCTTATAAAAGTTCAAGAATTTTTTTAAATTCTTTGCAAAGTTTGGAAAAAGTACGGTAAATTACAATACTGTATTTGATTATACAGCACATTAAACGTTAGGGGGAATCGAAACTTGCTCAACGAATTCTTTGTCCAAAGAAAACGCCATTGAAACAAAATTACAAAATTTTGTTGAGTGAGGTGCCACTTTAACTGAATTTCATAGCATTCCATCTTCAATATTGTGCTCTAAATCTAAAGAATATCAGCAAGGACCTTAAAAAAGCCTCGTTATGATGAATGATTGGGTGTAACGGAATTCAATCTGTACAGTATGTACTGTATTTAAAAACAGATGCCTCTCAATCTTTTCCATGCAGAAGAAAGTTTGAAGCTTGTTTGCTAAAAATGAACAAATACCTTTGATTGCATTTTTCGCGATTTCTTTGTATTTTATTTCATATTTACTGTCTTGTTTTCAGGGAATGCAACAGAGACCAGTGATTTGATGGGCTTCATCAACCGCCTAGTGGTGAATAATGTGAGGAGGAGACCCACGTTGACTCGCGCAGTTTTTGACTGGGGTTTCGCCATTTTGCTGGAGAATCGTGTCGGTGACGTGGCGACGACTTTCGCCTCTCGCTTTGCAGAAATACTCTGGACGACGTGGACCTTATTTCTTCATCCCTTCCTGGCCGGAAGAAATTTCGAATTGGTTGGGGAATCCGCGGAAATCGAGCTCGGGTTGTTTGCGGATTTCGTCTTGTGTTGCGCCCTCGGGGCGTCAGTGTTGAGTTCCGTTTCGTCAGATGCCGAGAAGGAACTGTTGTTGAAGCTGCGGATCGCGTGTCATGTTATCGAGCAAATTTCGGGCCCGGAAGTGAAACCCTTGTTGAAACTGGGCGAGGGAACGTGGAGGAAGTGCTTTGACCACGTGTTCGGTCCCGGAAAGGTGTCTGAGAGAACAGCTCAAGACTTGCGACTCTTGGTGTTCATTAAGGAGCCGAAAAGTTGGGGCAATTTTGGCCTGGACGAACGCTGTGCTCTTCAATCCGCGCTGTTTCCTTGACGACGAGAAATCAGGAGAAATCTGCTCGCAAAGTGCAAATTTTTTGTGCAATGTTTCTGTAGTTTTATATATTCTGCACTCTGATCCGTAACTCATTTTTTGTGTGTGTTCTGATTCCGTCAGTTATGATAATTTTGATCGCAGTGATCGGAAATGTCGGCGGATTTCGATGTTGACGCGATACAGCAAGCGGAAATTGACTCGGTTTCGGAAGATTTTCCGGACATGAATGCTCCAGAGCCGATTGTTATCCGCGGATGTGGGAATGTTACTGTGTAAGTGCAATTATAGACCGAGGCAAAGCTCAGTCTGATTTCGTGTATTTTTCTTTTCGCAGTTTCGGCCTTTGCAACAAGTTTGATGACGGGTTTCCTTTAGCGCTGAATGGAAAGGTATTGCATTTTTGTTTCTGGTGGTTTAACGCAGTTGTTGGTTTAGAGCGGTTTGTGGTTCGTCAAAATGGAAAAAAATGATGTTAAAAAGCAATTATACTGTGCTGTACTGTACTGTAATATGAAATAGGAATTCTATTCTTCTAGGGAACAGTCTAAATGGGTGTCTCAACGGGGTTCGACTGAATCGGGATAATTTGGAAAATGTTGATTGTGATGCAGTGTAATTAACTATTTCCATGATGATGAGTTGGTGAAATTTCTGATTTTTTCTCATTCAAATCCCAGTCGTTGCCGCTGAATTCTTACTTATTTTATTTATTTTTTGCTCAAGAGTGTATTGTTGTCTTTCAGGTTGCACCAGAAGAGTTCAAAGGGACAATGTCACGATTGAACTCGGTGTTGAAGAAAACCCTTCCCATCAACGTGAAATGGCTGCTATGTGGATGTCTTTGTTGCTGTTGCACGCTTGGGTTTTCTTTGTGGCCAATCATTTGCTTGAGCAAACGGGTATGTTTTTTTTGGAAAGGAAATAATGAAGACGTTTTATGCATATACTGTCAAACCATTTGTTTGTGAGGTTTGAAGCAGGGGGTGGTTTATCAAAAAAAGGCGAAATGTTACGAAAATTTGAATATGATGCGAAAAATAAATTCTGGTTCTTCTAGAGACGAAACCAAAATAACAATACCTCCGGAGTACGTAAATTAGTTATCTAGCTGATGTTCTGGAGAGGTAAATTCTACAATTTCATTTTGAAGTGGATACCTCTCACAGAAACCTGGATCATTAATACTGTATACATTGCTAGAAATACTGTTTACTATATTATAATTTTTGTTCCACAAATTCTACTTCGTAAATAAAATATTCATAAGTTGTTGGGCGGAACGCTTGAGACAGACTGGGTAGAATTATTGTTATAGCAATTTTTCAAGATTTCATACAATTGCGTGATACTTTTTCTCTGAGAAATTTAAAGAATTTATCTTTGCTGCCCCCAATTTTATTTTTCCTAGAGTCATATGGAGCAATTCTGAATCAATGTTCACTTCCAACAGTGGCCCCTAAAATTTTCAGAAAATCTAAGATGAAGTAAGAGAAAAATCTTTCACAAAACTTTGAACTTTGTTGCCTGTGGTGTGACAAAGTTTTTGTGGTTAACAATTGCTGGAAGATATTGTAATTTTCCTTGAAAGTTATACTAATATGGCTGGGAATCACCCAGGATTTGAAGAAATTCTTTTCTGATATAGAGAATAAGTACCAGTTTATAAAATTATTTGCGTTATAAAAAATTTCTAAGGCTGCTTGGAAGTTTGATGTAACAAGATTCACATGTAAATCTACCAACACATATTACCGTATTTACTCAAGTACCACGCACCCTCAAGTAAGGTGCGCACAGGGGTTTTTCAGTTAGAAATTTTGCGAAAATATTATACCCAAGTAAGACGCGCACCCCAATTTTTAGTGAATCTAAAACAATAAAGTTCAAAAATAGAAACAAAAAATTGAATTTAGACATGAATTGAACAAGAATCTGATCAATTTTCAACTGCTTCAGTACAAAAAAGTTTTATTGTTACATTTGTTCAAAATTTCTCCATTATAATCAAGTATAAAGCACACATAATTTCCTAAAACTTCTTGAAAAATGTGTACCCGCTTATGACGCGCACCCCTTTTTTTCTTCTGAAATTTTAGAAAAAAGGTGCGCCTGGTACTTGAGTAAATATGGTACTTGACCTTCACAGATAAAAGATCCAGGCAAAGATTATGTACCTTAATATTTTACTTATTTTTAGAGTGAGTGTATAATGACAAGCTGTTTTTCATTTCAATTGTATATATACTTTGAAATCTAAAACCAATATACTGTGTATACTTTCACTTAATCATTGTATTCATTTATTTATTCGCGCTTGTTAGACGAAAAGTTTGTTGGAGAAGGCCATCGAATGGGAAAACACCAATTTGTATCGAAAACTCGGGCTCAGAATGAAGCTGGATAAGCAACATTGCCAAAGCAATGGAAACCTGATGGAATATGTAAGCATTGGGACTCTCGAAAATGTTTTAAAAAATGTCAGCTTTTGTAAACATCTTTTCTTGTTATTTTTGATGCTTCTTTCAGGTGATATTGATCCAATGCTTACCAAAACTTCATCTTCATTGCCCGGAATGAAAATATGGACTGCGTGATTATTGATTGCTAGTCTGATGTGGTCTTTCAGTGTCTTCTCTGGTACCTGAACGTTATGTGTGTGGTTTTTTAAAGATGAATTGAATATGCGAGTTTTGTCGTGAATCTCAACTGGAAACGAGGAATGCGGTTTTTTTTTTCTGCGCGAGAAGTTTTATTTTTTGGATTGTTACGAGTGGTTGTTTCACTTAATTTTTTATTTTTCCCAAGTTGATTTGTTGATCAATGGACTTCTTAGATCGGTCGTATTGAACGAAGTCTTGGAATAATTCAAGTAACAAATTCGAATGTTTACAGAAGTACGGAATCTGCTGATTTGTCAACTGGAGCAGAAAACGTCGCCAGATTTATTCGGATGCGGGTAATTTTCATAAATACTGTACAGTATTTCGAAAGCTTTTGTTTTGTCGTGGCAAAAACGGGATTCTGGCGGATATTTTCCGGCTTATTCAATTTTGAAGTGACTACGCTTGTTAGCTGCCATTTCTTTAAAAATTGTCGCACGCTGTTCAGTTGGATGACTTCCATGATTTTATTTTATTTTTGCAGTGGTTTCTTATTCAGAAATTTCAGGATGAAAGTGTTGGGAATTTCGGTGTTCCTTTTCGCGCTCGTGTCCGGAACCGAAGCGAACTCGGCTTCAGAAGAAACATTCCAGATCGACGGGAAAATCTTGCCTCCGTCGGATTCCTTTCTCCCTTACGACACGGAATCCGTGGAAATCGTGGTGAATGGACGGAAGCGAGTGAGCTTTGTGCAAAGCGACGGGACCTTTGCTGTGACCTCGATGCCTGTGGGATCGCATTTGATCGAAATCGCGAGTCCTAACTACTTTTTCGAGCCCATCAAGGTGGACATTAGTGCCAAGGGCAAGTTCAGGGCGAGGAAGGTGAACCTCGTCCAACCCTCTCAGCTTATTCAGGTTTGCCTTTTTTTTTTAAATTCCGCGTTGCTGTTATTGAATATTTTCGACCCCGTTTTTTCGTCAGATCTTTTTATAATTGTGGAAACTATTCATCTTGAATTTGAATAATTTACGTAAACGGTACTCAGACCTTGTCCGTATGTCGGAACGTCCGCATCACATTGACCTCAATGGGAATATATTTAATGTACTGTAATTGGTTCTCGTGTTTATCAAAATTGAGAAAAAGTCCCTGGAAAATTGAATAAAATAATTTTCGTCGACTCCAAGATGCGGGAAATGACGACGATGCAGAAGAAAAACACAGAACCTGATCGTTTGGCATGAAAAGGAGTGCAAAGTTGATGGAATGAACTCTCAAAAGGAAGCCAAAAATTAGCCTGTCCAGAATTATGATTTATTATGAATTTTTAAAACTTTTTTTTTTCAAATTTTTTGAATTTGTGAAAGAGATATCAAAATGTTGACAAATTAAATTTTCCATTTGTCTAAATATGTTGGTATGTGTGTATCTTGAGACATTGTCCGTATGTTGAGGCGTCCGCATGCTGGGGCCCAGGTGTATTTCGTTAGTTCTCGTATCAATCAAACGTGAGTAAAGAATAGCCAAAAAAATGAAAATGAACTTCGGAAAGGAACTGCGGAATGGATGATAAGTCTCCGCGGGCCAGATCTGGCCCGCAGGGCCATTTGTTGGCCAGCAATGTTGTTTTGAATTCTTCCGTGCGTTGATTATTCCGGTTTTTTTTCTTCTTGTTGTAACTCGAACAGATTGTGACGGATATGATTTCATCCTCAGGTTCCGTATCCGTTGAAGCTGAAGCCGTTGGGAGCATCGCGTTATTTCCAGGCTCGTGAACAATGGAGAATAACGGACCTTATTTACTCACCCATGATCATGATGATGGTGCTGCCGTTGATCTTCATTGTGGTGTTGCCCAAGCTCATGAGTGATCCTGATACCCGCAAGGTATTCATCACACAGGCAGTCTTTCGTCCACGGGTTTCCTAGTTCTCTATTGTTGAGCGGTGGTTTTGGAAAATTGTTGAACATTCGGAACATCGTATTTACTTCTTATACAGTAAATTCTTGGAGCAGTTCGGTTAAATTTTCCAAATGTCTCCTACATAGTGATGATATTCTTCTCGTGATGAAACTTGAGTTACCTGATGATGTACCGAAGCTTTCACTTGAATTTTGGTCGAATTTGCACTGTTTTCCTGGTAAACTGTTCCAGGACTGCTCTTTCAATTGACTAAAATTTATTATTGTAAAGAAATACTGTCTAAAGAAGGTGCTTTTGATAAATGAGAGAAATTCCGCGTCCACGCCAATATTCCAGTGAGACCTTGAGATGCGGACATAATTGGTGCATCAAGAGTGTCCCGAAGTCAAAATGTCCCTGAGTCTAGTCTCATTTTCCCTTAGACTTACAATCTATAATTTGTAATTGGTGTTTTATGTACAAAATACTCACCATAATTCCATGAAAATAAAAATTGTCTCCCTATTTAAACTGATTCAATCAATATATTTCAACACAGTGTGGACATTTGGGGAATTGAATGCTGATGCCTCTGTAAAGTACGTAGCAGTGTTGGCATTCTTTGTAAAAATAACATTCAAGTGAAAAAGAGAGAAGGAAGCCCCTCTATGCTGGAGGTAATTTTTTTAAATAAGCTAAATGGATGGTGAATTGGGTGAGAGAAATGCCCAAGGACTTTTCTTACATCAATTTTAGGGTTGGAAATATCTGTTTCTTGTAACTTGGCCTGAAACTTATTTGCAATTTTATCACAAAGTGTCCTTATGTTGAGTCAGTGTCCTCATGTCAGGCCTTTTTTAAATTAATTTTTTTCATGTGAAAATAAGTGTCCCCATGTTGAATTGTCCTCATGTGGGTGTCTCACTGTGCAGTATTATTTTTTAATTCGAGACGAGTGAGAAAAATTGCGAGGCTTTTAGCGATTTTTCTAGTAATTCAAGCAGCTGCAATTTTGTCGCCTCAATGTTTTTTTCCTTTTAAATGAATCACTTATGGAAACCTCACTCTGAAATTTTCGTCCGAAACAGGAAATGGAACAGATGCAAATGCCGAAATACGAGATGCCGGATTTGTCGGAAATGATGACTTCCTTGTTCGCTGGCGACGCCAAGAAGGCGAAGCAATCTGCTGTGAAACCGGCGCCTGTTGTGCGTCGGAAACAATAACGTTTTTCCTCGGATTATGTTGCGTACATAAATTATGCTAAAAGTTTTCAAATTTTATTCAAGATGATCACGAACGGATTGCGGTCTTTTACTGCATCTAGTCAAGTTTTTTTTTTTTTTTCCTGAATCATATTAGTTCGCAGAGGTCGTCGATAAAAAAAAGTAACTTATTCGTTCAATGAACAGTTATTGCGGGCATTTTTCACCTCGCTGAACCAAATCTGGACGAAAACACGGTTTGTGTGAAAATTTTGATTTCAAATTATTTTTTGAATGACGAAGTGTAAAGCCGGGAAGAAAATTTTTCTAGAATGGAATTGTTACAGGCGAAGTTTACTGGATGACAAAAATACTGTGAGGGATTAATTTATTCCGGGATAGGTTTCGAGGAATGAGTGCGGAAGAGATTCCTCGGAGAAATTGAAAGTGAAGAATCGAAATTGGAGCTTTAGTGGTACTTCGTAAAGAGAAATCTAGTTGCAAAGCTTCGTGATACACTTGGTAGATCCACGTGGATGCGAAATACCGTCTCGATGAATCGAATTTTTGTTTTGCGAGACTAGCGAAGCCTTCAACGAGTTTTCATCACTAAATTCTCGATTACGATTTTGAAGGAGGACTGCTTTATTCCCGAGAACATTTTTGCTATTCTGCAGAGCAGAAATGTTTTCCCGAACGCAACTTGGTTCCGTGAAAATTGCACATTTCATGTGCGAGTCCCAATCCTTGAACCAGGGGCTCCTTTTCGTGCAATTTGAGTTGACAGACTCAAACTGCGAGACTGTTGCAACTCCCGTGCTAAGACAGGGACAACGCTGTGAGGAAGTTTCAAGAGAATGTGGAATCATCGCGGGAATCTGTTCGGAAGAATTGATTGTCTGCTCTTGCGCTGTGCTGATTTTGAAAACCGGTGCCCAACTCGTTGGTCACGCGGACTCTTTTGTCTCAAGAGTCCCTATTTCGCATCAACTGTGGAAAAGTCTCGAAGTTTCACTTGAGATTTTGTGTTGGAAACCCGCAAAGTCGCGTACGAGAGGAGAGTACAAGCAGTTCACACGCAACATCGCAGCCGTCAATTACCCGGACTTGAAGTGGCAATTTGTGTCTAGTGTTTGTGAATACAGTGAGGCCCCGAGATGCGGACAGAATTGGTGCATCAAGAGTGTCCCTAAGTTGAAATGTCCCTAACATATAATTTTCCATTGGTGTTTAATGTACAAAATATTCACCATAATTCCATGAAAAAAAAAATTGTCTCCCAATTGAAACTGATTCAATCAATATATTTCAAGACAACATGGACAATTGGGGAATTGAATACTGATACCTCTGTACAGTACATAGAAATGTTGGTATTCTCTGTAACAATAACATTCAAGTGAAAAAGAGGGAAGGAAGTCCCTCTATGCTGGAAGTAATTTTTGGCACTTGTACACGAGAGGTGACCCACCGAAAAATCCGCGCGCGTCATGCAAACGTGACATCTACCAGCAAAATGAATCTCCTATAGTTTAAACCCTCTTCTCCAGCAACACTGGCCAGACTCCCATATACAGTACTGTACTCCTCTGCATTACTACGCGAGTTCATAATCACGACGAATTATGAGCAACTTTTCATCCATTCCTTGGCATTCTGCAGAAACTGACTTTCGAGGCGGTTAGGTTAGTTTATGATGAAAGATATTTTCAACCAACATAAACTAACCTAACCTGACTTTACCTAACCGCCTCCCAAAGTCAGTTTATCTTTTCTGTGGGATTCTGCTGAAACGGACTTCGGAGGCGGTTAGGTAAAGTTAGGTTAGGTTAGTTTGTGTTAGTTAAAAATATCTTTCAACTATCATAAACTAACCTAACCTAACTTTACCTAACCGCCTCCAAAGTCAGTTTCTGCAGAATGGCAAGGAATTCGTCGTGATTATGAACTCGCGTCATAACGCAACCAACCTCCAGTAGATGTGGAGCGGAATCTTGGTGAATTACTTGGTGGGGATGCAGTTTGGACTGTTGTTGGTGGAGCTCAGAGTGCCAGATGAACCAGCAGTGATCTATTGTGGTGTTCTGTTGTTAAGTTGGACTGCAATGCCCAACCAACCTTCATCCGTTGGGTTGAATTTGACCCTAATTCCTTTGCAGAACTAGGGTTGAATTGCAAAGTGGTCAAATTGCAAGACACTCTGAAATTCCAGAATGTCAGTGAGAAAATGCAAAAAAAAATTGGCCAAAGCAGGTTGAATTGCAGGGAAAGGGTCAAATTGCGAATCATTGGTTGAATTGTGAGGTACCACCTGTACTATGATCAGATCAGAGCGGCTTATCCCAAAATGTTCCATGTGTTTTGTTCTTCCCTCTTGTTGCAATTGTTGCTCTTTCAGTGGGACTGGTGGGAGCCATGATGTGTGGTGAATGTGTTGATACTTACATCTATGCACTGAGTGTTGAAGTGTGTGATGGTCACCTTTTTTTTCCTCTCTGGAATTTTCTGCTGTGATGTTGATTGCATTGGCCAATGGATTAGTGTGCAGAGTGATGAGTGATATTTGGTGGCTGATTTCAGTGGTTCTTTGTGTGAACAGTTTTACTGTTGAACTGTGATAACTTCAGGAATCAAATGCCTCCCTATTTCAATTTTTCTGTGACCGTGTCTGAAGTTCCCCAGAAATATTGCATTTCAAACCTTCCTATTGCAAAGGCTTTTCCCCTCATACCTAAGTATCTTGAATTTTTTCATTGCCTTTTGGCTATTATTTTGGCACAGGGCTGAGCAAAGCAATGAAAATGTAACATGATGCATACTTTGCCCGGTAACAAGGAACAAGAAATCTCCTCTCAAGGAATTGTCTAAATTAGTTAAGAACATAACTTGCGACGGTAAGTTGTACAATTGGAGAATCCAGAGACGTCCGGAATTTAAAGATTGTATAAGATCTAAAATAAACTAATTTACGACAACACTCTTTTGAAAACCGAATCTCCCTTGAACTTACACGCGCACCGAGTGTTGTGACACCAACTTTCTAATTTGATAAGAGCTTCAATCCGATCCGAAATAAAACCCCTTGTGCATATTCTCCCAAACCTTGGTGTTTTATATTCTAAGTTCGGCAGGCGCTCTTACTGTACCATAATGTTAGGTCACAATGGTTGGCAGCATGGAGAATTGGATTTGAACCATGTGAGGTGGCTTGGGATTGGGGAGATTTTTGGGCACTTGTACACGAGAGGTGACCCACCAAAAAATCTGCGCGCATCATGCAAACGTGACATCTACCGGCAAAATGAATCTCCTATAGTTTAAACCCTCTTCTCCAGCAACACTGGCCAGACTCCCATATACAGTACTGTACTCCTCTGCATTACGACGCGAGTTCATAATCACAATGAATTATGAGCAACTTTTCATTCATTCCTTGGCATTCTGCAGAAACTGACTTTCGAGGCGGTTAGGTAAAGTTAGGTTAGGTTAGTTTATGATGAAAGATATTTTCAACCAACATAAACTAACCTAACCTGACTTTACCTAACCGCCTCCCAAAGTCAGTTTACCTTTTCTGTGGGATTCTGCTGAAACGGACTTTGGAGGCGGTTAGGTAAAGTTAGGTTAGGTTAGGTTAGTTTATGTTAGTTAAAAATATCTTTCAACTATCATAAACTAACCTAAACTAACTTTACCTAACCGCCTCCAAAGTCAGTTTCTGCAGAATGGCAAGGAATTTGTTGTGATTATGAACTTGCGTCATAACGCAGAGGAGTACAGAACTGTATATCGGAGCCTGGCCAGTGTTGCTGAAGAGTTTCATTGTTCAATGTTCCATTTGTTGTCTTACAAAATAGGTTTTACAGTAAATCGATATGAAACTTCGATTTACCAACTTTTAAGAAGATCACCAAATTCTGCTTGACTCTTTTTATTATTTGCTCCTTTAAGTATACAGAACTGTATATGGGAGCCTGGCCAGTGTTGCTGGAGAGTTTCATTGTTCAATGTTCCGTTCATAGATGGCGAGAGTGTTGAAAGTCATGGCGGCGCGCATGGATTTTTCGGTGGGTCACCTCTCCTGTACAAGTGCCTAATTTTTTAAAAATTAGCTAAATGGATGGTATAAATTGGTGAGAGAAATGCCCAAGAACTTTTCTCACTTCAATTTTAGGGTTGGAAATATCTGTTTCTTGTAATTTGGCCTGAAACTCATTTGCAATTTTATCACAAAATGTCCCTTTGTTGAGTCAGTGTCCTCACGTTGGGGTGTCTGCATATGGGGGTCTCACTGTTCCCTCATCATGGCTCTGATTGTGTTCCCATCCGTGTCTTTCCTACCTGACTGGCAGTTCCATCCCAGTCTCACCAACCTCCAGTAGATGTGGAGCGGAATCTTGGTGAATTACTTGGTGGGGATGCAGTTTGGACTGTTGTTGGTGGAGCTCAGAGTGCCAGATGAACCAGCAGTGATCTATTGTGGTGTTCTGTTGTTGTTGTGTTGGACTGCAATGCCCAACCAACCTTCATCCGTTGGGTTGAATTCGACCCTAATTCCTTTGCAGAACTAGGGTTGAATTGCAAAGTGGTCAAATTGCAAGACACTCTGAAATTCCAGAATGTCAGTGAGAAAATGCAAAAAAAAAAAATTGGCCAAAGCAGGTTGAATTGCAGGGAAAGGGTCAAATTGCAAATCAACCTCCCTGCAAATTTGACCATCAAATTGTGCAACTGTTGAATTGTGGGAGGTTGAATTGTGAGGTACCACCTGTACTATGATCAGATCAGAGCGGCTTATCCCAAAATGTTCCATGTGTTTTGTTCTTCCCTCATGTTGCAATTGTTACTCTCTCAGTGGCACTGGTGGGAGCCATGATGTGTGGTGAATGTGTTGATACTTCCATCTATGCACTGAGTGTTGAAGTGTGTGATGGTCACCTTTTTTTTCCTCTCTGGAATTTTCTGCTGTGATGTTGATTGCATTGGCCAATGGATTAGTTTGCAGAGTGATGAGTGATATTTGGTGGCTGATTTCAGTTGTTCTTCGTGTGAACAGTTTTACTGTTGAACTGTGATAACTTCAGGAATCATATGCCTCCCTATTTCAATTTTTCTGTGACCGTGTCTGAAGTTCCCCAGAAATATTCCATTTCAAACCTTCCTATTGCAAAGGCTTTTCCCCTCATACCTAAGTATCTTGAATTTTTTCATTGCCTTTTGGCTATTATTTTGGCACAGGGCTGAGCAAAGCAATGAAAATGTAACATGATGCATTTTAAAAGGAAGTGAAAGACTATAATTTGGGTAAATTAATCTTGCCTTCAACTTCAGCATCAAGAAGCAATTCCATCAATTTTCTTGTAATTCCTTCTTTCTCCCCAATGTAAATGGTACTCTCCCTTTGTCCAAAACTTTTCATGTCCAAACTCAAAAAAAAAAATTATCATAAAATAACACAGTATGTCAATTTTTTTTTGCTGGTCTCCTGAAGTTCAACTGCAATTTTGGAGCAAGTCCACTGGATGTAATCCATCTGGGATTGATCTGCAGCGCATGTTCAGTAGCGGGTCATTACGGAAAAACACAGGGCGTTTTTTCAGTGGTGCATAGATGTCGCTACCATTGTTGTCAAATTTTTTTAGTGCAGTTGCACAGTTTCAGAAGAGAATTGTAGTACAGTATTGTGGATCAAATGCGTAGTACTGAAGTTTGCGTTTATGTTGAGTTATGCGAGGTTACGCATGTTATGTCTTATTTTGTTGTGTGCAGTTGAATTTTCTGTTCACTTGAAAAAGATGCATTTTGTACTGATCTGTAATTGCTGCCCTGAGTGGGGAAATTGGTGCACACTGGGGATATGTTTGTAATTCTACACAGGGACCCTGCTGTGCACTTGAAGTGAACCAAAGTTCTTCTGTTGCACATGCATATCCCTAATGTGCACCAATTGTGTGTTCACACCAGGATTACTCAGGGTTACATTTGTAAACAAATGAGTTACACCAAGGTTACAGTTGGTACATTTGTTTAGTTGCACATGCATATCCCTAATGTGCACCAATTGTGTGTTCACACCAGGATTACTCAGGGTCACATTTGTAAACAAATGAGTTACACCAAGGTTACAGTTGGTACATTTGTTTGATGCTCTTGTTCTGTTACATTTGTGCACCAAGTGTAGCTGTGGAATGGTAGCAAAATTTCCTCTACAGGAGTGCACACTTATTGTAACCCCAGAATATCCCATGTGCACCAGTTGTGACCCTGGTGTGCACCTACTGTGGGGTCACAGCAAAAATAGCTTCCCACTTGGGATGGTCACGTGCTCTATTTTATCACCACATGATCATGTGGCAAATGCCAGTGATTATTCTTTCACCAAAAAAGAATAATTGTTCACATTGCAAGGCATCTCTTTACTGTGCTACTTTTGGTTCTGTTTTTGCATCATGATTTCACTCATATTTCTTTGTGTTATTTTGTTTCATTTTCAAAGATGATGCGTTAGGGAATGGGGTGTGAAGTGCGAGTGGTATTTTTTGCCGCGGCGAAAGAGTTGGTGGGATGTCGTGAGGCATCCTTGAGTGTTCCTAGTAGACTGAGCTTTTCCGAACTGAAGGACATTTTATTGGAAAAGTACGAGGCGTTGAAAATTTTGGAATCGAATTTCATCCTTGCCAAGAACCAGGAATACCTGGACTTTGAAGGAGACGCACTGGTTGTGTTCAAATCCGGCGACGAATTGGCTGTGATTCCTCCAATCAGTGGAGGTTAGTGTGGAATTCTTGATGGTTTGACAGGTACCACGGAGGAGAAAGAGGCACCTTATCCCAGCACCATGCTTGAATTTGATTCAGTGAATATATTTTCAACTCAATAAGCACATTTGGAGCATTGAATAGTGTACCTCTGTACAGTAGAGTCAAACCCTGTTGAGACACCCCCCAATAAAGCGCCACCCTTGGCAACTGCCAAAATTTTGAATGAAACAAATCTCTATGTTAAATTCTATAGAAAACCTGAATAAGATGCCAACTGCCATCCACCAGCATTAGTGATGAAACAAAAGTGCTGTTTCCAATTAGTTTTATCTCTGTTACAATGCCAACATTGTTGTAGAATTATAATTTCTGCCAAGGATCTTGTATTTGTAAGAATAAAATAATAATAATGATCATTTTGTTGAAAATTATATTGAACTAATCCTAAAACATTGAATAAATTGATGCAGCAAAATTTATTTTCTGAACAAGTAATCCATTGATCACAGCAATACTCTTTGGGAAATTACTGAAGTTTCTTACATAACCCGTATCTCTAGGACTTCTGGAGGAAAATTGAGTACTTTTGATCAAATGATTAAAATTTAATATTTGATAAACTGCCAACCTGTTTAAACCTCCAAAAATGCCCTGGACAAATGGTGGTGTCTTATCAGGGCTTGACTGTACGTTGAAATGCTGGCATCTATAAAAATAACATCCAAATCACAGAGCACAGGAAGTCCATCCATGGCATGGGTAATTTTTTTAAATTAGCTGAATGGGCAGGAAAATGATAAGAGAAATACAAAAGGGTTTTTCTTGCATAGATTTTAGGGTTGGAAATATCTGTTTCTTGCAATTATGCCTAATAAAAGTCAATTTTCCTGAAATTGTATTGGCAATTTCAACATTCAATGTCCTCATGTCAAGTCAGTGTCCTCATGTTGGGCCTTTTTTGTGCCTTTTTATTGAAAAATGAATGTCCCTATGTTGAATTGTCCACATGTCAAATGTGTCCCCATGTGAGGGTCTCACTGTATTTCTCACACTTTTCCCCAAAATTTCTGCATAAAATGTGCTGAAAACCCTGATTCTCAATGTAAAAAAAAAATGTTTCTCAGGTCCAAGCAAAATAAGATGTTACTGTATTTTTTATTTAATTTTAATCTTGCTACCAAATTTTGTCTGGATTTTGTGAGAAATCATTTCTGACATCCGATTTGATGCCCAGTTGTATTCATTGCAGGTTGAACAATGAACCACATCCTCATCACGGAGCAGCGACTCAACATCCCCGACATGTACAACAAGGTCCGCGATCCGTCCTGTGGCGCCATCTCTTCCTTTGTCGGCACAACCAGGGACCTCTTCAATGACAAGCCCGTCGTGAAGCTCGAGTACGAAGCCTATATCGGGATGGCGGAAAAGGCCCTGGGGGACATTTGCAAGCAACTCCGGTCCCAATGGCCCCTGCATCACATTCTCATGGCTCATCGCCTGGGCTCTGTGCCTGTGGGCGAAGAAAGCGTGGCCATTTTTGTGTCTTCTGTGCATCGCGCCGAGAGTTTGGCTGCTGTGTCTGCAGCCATTGATGCCCTGAAAGCCTCTGTGCCGATTTGGAAGAAGGAGCTGTACTCTGACGGCTCGAGTAATTGGAAGGTCAATGCGGAATGTGCGTGGAAGTGATCTTAATGAGTGGAGGAGCAATTGATGTCAATTACAGTGGATGGAATTGGTGCATGGGCCCTTGTCCCTTTGTCAGAATGTCTGAAAGTCGAACCTCATGAAGGGAATTTTTTTTCTATTGGCTCCTGTAGTTGAATACAGTGAGACCCGCAGATGCGGATGTAATTGATGCATCAAGAGTGTCCCCAAGTCTCATTTTCCCTAAGTCAAGTCTCAATATCCCTTAGACTTAAATTATATAATTTTTAATTGGTGTTTTATGTACAAAATACTAACCATAATTCCATGAAAATAAAAATTGTCTCCCAATATGAACAGATCCCAATCAGTATACTTCAACACAATATGGATATTTGGAGAATTGAATTTTGATACCTCTGTAGAGTACATAGAAATGTTGGCATTCTCTGTAAAAATAACATTCAAGTGTAAAAAGAGAGGAGGAAGTCTCTCTCTGCTGGAAGTAATTTTTAAAAATCAGCCATATGGATGGTAAATTGGTGAGAGAAATGCGCAAAAACTTTTCTTACATCAATTTTAGGGTTGGAAATATCAGTTTCTTGTAATTTGGCCTGAAATATATTTTCAATTTTATCACAAAATGTCCCTAAGGTGAGTCAGTGTCCTCATATCTGGCCTTTTTTTATTGGAAAATCAGTGTCCCTATGTTGAATTTTTGGCTGGTCAAGGTGTTTGCATGTGGGGGTCTCACTGTATATCAAGGAAAAGTCCCCAAAAAGTAGAATAAAATAATTTTTTCTCAACTTCCATTTACAGAAATGAATGTACTGTATAAGAAAACCATCCAGAATCTGATCCTTTGGCATCAGGAGGGGGCTTAAGTAGCAAAGAACAAGTTTTACTACACTGTGCACACATGATGGAGAAAACTCTTGAGAAAAAGAAGCGCCAAATAAGCCTGTGTTTGATTAAGAACTGTGAACTGAGATAATTTTATGATGAAATTCATTTTTAGCATTTTTTAAATGTAAATAGGTCAGTTTTTTTTCAAGAAATACAAAAGTAAAAAAAAATAACTTTTTAAAATTTGGCAAAATCTTGGAAGAGTGTCTGCAATCTTGAATCTTTGTCTGCATGTTGGGGACACATTTTTTTCCGTTTGAAGTGTACCTAAGTCCACATGTTTGGGTCCCACTTGTCACAAGTGGACTGACTAAAGATTTTGTCTACAACAATTTTCTCTGTACTGCATAACAAATGTTTTTGGTTCCAAAAGCTTCTTCCTCAATGTTATTAGGCAGGGGTGCTCAAGATATGGCCCACAGAGCATTCCTTTCTGGCCCATATGACAGTCACCCCCACCAAATATTTTAATTTTTAGAATGTTACAGACTAATCAAAACTCCTGCATGAACATTTCTAGAAATTCTGGCAAAACCAATGGAATATTTCCTTTATGTTTGCATAATTAAAAAAAATTTCTGAACGCTCCACTTCTGAATATTTTGAATGATAGGCCATAATTTTTTATTCTGGCCTGCAAATACTGCCCTCCCTTGACCATGTGGCCCGTCAACAGTTCTGAGGTGGCACCACTGCTCTGTAGCATGGTTAGAGATCTGTGTAGGGCCTTAAAATATTATTATAAAGAGCAACATGTTGAGGATTCTCCTGAGTTTTTGAGGTTTCCATGAATTTTTTTTATTGGCTCTGAATAGCAGCCTGAGGGGTCTAGAAATTCCCATGTGTTGACAAAATTGGCAGGGAATCACCTGAATAAATGTTTGTTGCCTTTTTGCAGCTAGTTACAGGTGCTTGTGGGGAACCGTTTTTTGTTCGTTGAGAAATCTATGAAATGGCTCCTGAAGCCAGTATTGTTATGTCTTTTACTAAACACACGTGGTCCAAGTGGTGCTTATATTTTTTAAGATAATATTTTTGCCGCGAAATTTTGTGCATGTGATCGAATTCCGGTTATATTGAACAGTGGCATTTTGTTGGTCAACTCATGCGACGAGACGTTATTTATTTATTTATGTTTGTGTGCTTATTTTCGGTGCTTGTTTCTTGCAGTTTTGATTGTGAAGTGAATCATGGTCCGCTTGGAAAAATTGTCCAACGTGGAAAAGGTCGCCGTTTGTAAGAAGTACTTTTTTTGTGAGTAATTTTTCTTTTATTCTTGCGTTCATTTGATTTTTTTTTGCCTTTTTCTTGTGGGGTGAAATTTAGTTTGGATTCTGTTACATTGAACAAAAAAATCAAATTCACCTGCTGAATAATTATGATTGTAATTATGATCAGTGTAATGCAGAAAATTTAATTCGCAGGTCGAATCTATCAAAATCTATCGCGCATTGATTTAAATAGGACAAATTTTTGTAGTTGAAATTCATCAAGTGATTTTTGAAAAATTGCAATCACTTTTCACTGGCGATCAAGAAATGTGTTTTTGAATAATCCTGATGCATTTTTTTTTTCATCCAGTTGGTCTCGCCTTGCTGCCATTCTTATGGGCAATCAACTCCGTCTGGTTCTTTGCTGAAGCGTTTTTGAAGCCGGATTACCCTGAGCAAAAGGCCATACGGAAATGTGAGGCAATGTATTCAATGTGATGTGCTGTAGAATTCTGCTACAACGTATCTCGTTATAACGCATTTTTTGTTATAACGAATTTTTTTCTTGGTCCTGGCAGTTTCCCATAGGCGTAATGTTATAAATATTTTGTTATAGCAAAGTAATTTCAGGCTGTTATCTCATTATAACAAATTTTGCCAATGATTCTGTGCACAGCCCATAATATAGGGATCACTCAAGAAATGGCAAAAATTGTTGAAATAATTAAAAGATACAGCATTACAACTTCATAATAAAAATCTTAATGCAAAAAAAACTTGCTATCCAAAAAAAATTACTCAACAGGAAATATTTTTTGAAATTCTTTAGCTCATCTATTTTAGAATATGCCTTTTTCAAGTAAACAGTATGTTAGAAGAATGTTCCTCTATTTTAGAAAGAGCCATGAGTGGATAAGTTGATTGAGAAGGAAATGGAGCATGTTCACCATATGTAATTTGTTTTCATTTATGACCAGCAATTCAAATCCAGCAATCCAGTATAAATGTTTGTTGATTTGGAGGCAAGTGCTTTTTATATTAATGGATTTCTCTTCATTTCATCATAACTAATTAAGCTAGGTCTTGATTTCTGTGTTTTAGAAGCATTTTAAAGTATGTATTTCCCCATTTCCAATAAAATTGCAGTCTGAAATGTGGTAAAAATCATTAATATCGATATAGCAAATTTTTTGTTACAACAAATTTTTTCTCAGGTCCCCAGGAGTTTGTTGTAACAAGATTTTACTGTATTTTCAATCAATAAAAAACCTTCAAATAAATAACATTTGTCTAATAAATAACAGATTTAAAAAGGAACTATCAGATTGCTGATGCATCAGTTTAATTTTTGTATTGAACCTTAAATTTTATGGTCTTTGTAAGGAAGAAGTCAGAAAGCATTCTCTCTGTTTGGGGATTCTCTCAGAAGGCTATATTTTCTCACAAAATTATCATGGAAAAAAAGAAACATTCACTGAACAAAATCAGGAGATGTTTATGGTGAAAACTTTTATCAAAGTTTATAAATCAGGGGGCACTAAATTGAGGGTTGACTGTATCTCATTTTAAAAATAAGTTATAGATTTTTATACATGGTCTCAAATTCAAGTTGAAGATGTTTCCCAACTTTTTTTGTATTATCATGTAAATTGATTTGACTTACAGATCTTGAGGTATAGTCACTTTTGTCAATTTCAACTTATTTTCTTTTGTGATATGAATTTGTGCACACAAACTTGTGGTGCAACAGGGACTTCAATTGTTTAATTCATGAATGAATTCAATTCTCCAACAGCCTAATTTATCCCAATTTACTGTTTTTTTTTTGTGTGTGTTTTCCAGATACACTTATGTCAATTGTGGGATCCGTTGTGTGGCTGACTTTGTTTGTCACTTGGATTGGAGTGTACCAGACTTTCCGGGCATCATGGGGAGCAGCTGGAGATGACATATCTTTCATCATTCCCCCGGGGGTACCATAATTTATGTGCAGTACTGCAGTATACTTTAATGCTGTACTTCATTCATTTTTTTTTTCGTGGCTTGCGCAGTGTCAAGTTATTATTGCATCGATTTATTTTTCTTTCTTTCCGATGACCTCGTTTTCTCGCGGTGACTGAGGCATGAACGATGGAAATGTGATATGTCCATGAAAACATTTTTTGAAAATTGACATTTGCTGATGTCATGAGCTGTTCTATTTATTTATCCTTGTTTTCTGTGCTCAAAAGCCATATTGAAAGGAGAAGGTTCAGGAACTGGTTCCACGTAACACAGCATGCATGAAAGCCACTGATGTTCTTCTGAAAAATGTCGAATTCATTAATAGTGGGTTCATTGTAACAAAGTGTCCAAAAATCCGCCTCGAGATATTTTTGCATGAAGAAAAAGGGAGGAGTCAGGAAGAAGACGCGGAAAAAAAAGGTTTCAAGCTTTCAATACGAAATAACCTGCCCTTGAAAAATTTTTTGAATGTTTTAAAATACTGTATATGGAAAAAATGCACATTAGCCAATGTAAAAAACTTTTTTTTAATCTCCCCTGTGGAGGATAAATTTTCCGCTTATTTTGAAACCTTGTAAAACTTTTTCTTGCGCGGAATTGGGACAACCCAGCTGGTACAGTGCTACAGTTGTCATTCTTGTACAGTATCATTAAAGGATTATCAAATTAAAATTTACTGGAAGGACATCTTGCCTCTTCTTGTTTTTATTCAAAAAGTGTTCTCTTACAAATCCATGAGTTGTGAACATGATTATGTAGGTGGACTCATTCTACAACAACATCCTCTGTATAGCGAATTTTGTGTGTGGTTCCATTGGGTTCTCTCCCCATGCTATAGCATGTTGAAGTTCTTAGCAAAATTCTCTCTACTGAAGATTTATTTCTGGCCCCCTGAATTTTTGTTTTGGAGGGAGTCCACCT